ATGATTTTCATAAAACGATGAGAGACTAGTTAATGTAATGTTCATTAATACTTTCACCTTAATAATTAACTAGATTTCAAGTTCTTTTCAGCAAATCTAGATCAAAACGTAGAGGACTTTAATACGTTATCATATCGTTCTTAGATGAAGAACGTGAGACCTATCCCAAGAAGACGTAGAAGGGAAAATATACAGCCAATTTACGATAACCTTGATGTGAAAAAAGAAATTGATACAAGAATAAACAGAAGAGATAAAAATATAAAGGGAAATATGAAACAATTATTAAATAAAATAGAAAAAATATTTCATTGCTTGAGAAACCAGTATCTCCGAACAATTGGAAATGAAATTAATGGATTCAAACATGTTCGAAAATGTGAAGAAAATTGAAAAACTATGACAATATCCTACAATCAAACCCCGACAGAAAAAACGTCATGGTTTGGTACTCAGAAAAAAATCATGGAGTCTAAAATTATGATGCCCATAGAAATAGAAGACATACCAATATACTTCCAAAGATTACAATGTCCGACCCCAAATTAGCTTAGAAATTGTTTAACAGATTTCGCGTCATACAGAATGCAGAGATACCATAAACCGATACATCTGGTGAGTTTATTTTTATTCATTTTAGAATTAAAAATCCAGATTGTATCATCGTCGGTTTTTTTTAAGGAAAAATATTGAAAGTCCAGATACTATGCGTATGATATTTGTTGTATGCATTATTTATCCAATACAAAGACCGCGATCCAATCAAGGATAAAGGTTACTTAATAGAGTAATTTTTAAAGGGGCCGAGGAAAAGAGCAAGACATGCATATTATAAAAATCTCTTGGATAAGATTTGACTTCTTCAAGATACAATTCAGCTTCTGGATAGTTGGACAGCAAACCTTATGTATTAATATATAGACCGGTTCACACACCTCTCCGCCATTTTGAACAAGTATAGAGGTTTATTGCTCCTTTTCTGTTGAGGATTGTGTTTCCGGTTCCTTATAAAATCTACTCCTAACGTGTACGTCTGAACATCTGATTTAATTACTATTTTTCTCCACAATAAGAGTAGATATGTTCAGCTATCGTCCACTTCACACTCCTCACCGGCATTTTGAACAGGAGTAGTTTTTATTCCTTGTTTTCTCTTTAGGATTATGTTTCTGGTTGCTCCTAAGATCTACTTCTGACTCTGAACTCCTCTGTAAAAGTTGATAGGTTCATCTATCGCCCGCTGCACACTTCTGGATTGTCTTTTCAACAGTTGTATATGTGGATCACTTATTTTCTGTTTAGGATTGAGTTTCTGGTCCCTTCCTACTAAAGTATTTTCATTCTCTTTTACGCTCGGTAGCCCCTTGCATCGTGTTTCGTTTTCGACTTGCTGCAAAGTAATTTATTTTTTTAAAAATAGTGTAGGATCTGGAGAACTTGTAGTTTTCAATTTGTATAGCTGATCTGGATTTTATTCTACTGTCTGGGGCAGATTTGATGTTTTGGTATGTCAGCTGAGGGACCTTGTAAAATCCTAACATGGATTAATTACCAAACAGCAAAGAAGCCACACGCGAGACAACTGCACGCTTGAGATCCTATTTACCAAATAGCAATATAGTGATCACGATGTTTTGCTGATAGTATAGCCTGCTTAGGAGTTACTCTATGGCTCGGATTCCTGACTGTCAGAACTTAAAACGCCACCCCAGAAAAATGTTTACCTCTAGCACCCTTGATGACAAAACAAATGATCGGAGATTGAGAAGTGTTTATACGCATATCACCCGAACTCTAAACATACCTTTGCCCAGGAATCGAGGCTGAAACACTCCGGGCACTAAGATACTAATCGATCAGTGATAATCTTAAGCCATAATAGATGACTTAAAAACAGTAAAATATGTTTAGAACCGTAGAAAAGTCTACTGAACTCTTATGTAATATAGGTCCTACTATATATCAGTGAATGCTTGAAAATCTATTCACAGAAGGAAAAGAGATTTGACGGAACACAGGTTGGATTCTACAGAATGATACAGAGAATACCACAGACCGAATATGTGAACAGCGACGAAGTCTTAAAGAAAGCGAGAACAAAAAAAAAGAAACTTAAAATTAACAACAGAAAGAAACAGTTGACATTTCAGGGGCACGTAATTAGGCAAGGGGGTTTCAAAAATCCCATACTCAAAGCGTAGATTGAAGGCAACAGGGTACATGAGTACATGGATGGCAAAAGGAGCGTTTAGGAGAGATATTAAAAATAAAAACGTTTATTAAGAAAGACAAAGCACAGGGAAATGTGGAGAGCCATGATCGCCAACGACCTGAATTAACACAGCAAAAAAGAAGGAGGAAGAGGAGGGTTATAAATGCAGTTGTTCTTGTTTTAATTATAGTTAATTTTTATATGTACCTAACTCCAACACAACTATATATTAATGTATTTCCCAAATTAGATCAAACGATTTGAAGACTCATCAAATATATATATTTTTATAAGTATAAGAATTACGTTTGCTAATCATGGTTTCGTACGTCTGATCAGCTTTCCTGTGAAAATATACATTCATATAAGAAACTTCTCTATAGCTCCGTATCTCTGTATTAGATCATGTGATAGAATGGATAAATAGAATATATAGAAATCATTGCAATCATCCTGACGCCATCATCAAAATTATATATCCATGTTGCTTTTTTCAGCAATCCTTCTGGAATATTTCCTTAAAGTAAACAATTTGTATATAACAGAATTGTTCCATCCAATGTAACACACCGTTCATCATAAAAAAAAAAAAAAAATCCTGTTAAAAAAATCATTTTTTCAGATATTCTTCGTCTGGGTTTCATTTGTTTAAAAAATGTCCATAATATCACAGGATTCTTGATATTTTTTTTTTGTGTGCTAGTCTCATAGAACCTATAAACGAAGTAATGAAACTCATCAACATTGAGTGTCCGATAATATAGTTTTAGCTTTATGGCAAACTCCAAAATTATTAGTATTTCTTCTGGCCTCGTTTTATTGTGCCGGTAATGAGCGATGCTCACCCCTCATTAGTGCATTGTAGTTGGTGTAATCCACATTGGGTGTTCTATACTTTTAGGCATAATCCCAAGGTGGGTATTAATTGAGTGAGAGCTCAGTGTAAACTACAGAGAATAATAATAATAATAATAATAATAATAATAATAATAATAATAATTATAATTATAATTATAAGACATTGTTATTAGAGACCTTAAGCAAAAAAAGTGGCTCCTTATTGATATTGAAGTCCCTGCAGACTGCAATGTATCTTTGAAGATATTCAAAAGCTGTCAAAATACAAGGAACTTGAAATAGAAATCTCAAAATGTGGCACATGGGGACATCGACAATCCGTGTTGTAGTTGGAGCTCTAGGATTGCTTGGAAAAGACACCAGTAGACTAATCAAATGGATTCCTGGAAGTCCATGCCTCAAAGAGTTACAAAAAAATTTTCTGCCAAGTACAGCCCACACTTTACAGAGGGCTTTATCTATGTAAAAAAATGTTCTTTTTTTGACAGTAGAAAGTGTCATGATGCCATTTCTAACCTTAAGTCTCTGGGCGAGAACCGGAAAGAAATGTGTAAACGCCAGAAATCAAAGAAAATAATAATAATAATAATAATAATAATAATAATAATAATAATAATAATAAGTCATTAAGAAAACCTTGATGTTCCATTTCGGTTATAATTTATTTCCTGAAGATTAAATCACACACACACACACACACACACACACACACACACACACACACACACACACACACACACACATATATATATATATATATATATAATTATTTATTTAAATGAATAATTATATTTATGCTCTACTTTTGTATCGAGCACTATCTTTTAAAAGTAATAACAAAAATACTAAAGAACTTCGGATTATTTACCTAACGAGTTCTTTCTTATTTTCTATATATTTTTACACACACACACACACACACACACATATATATATATATATTCCGAGTAAATTTTCCGGATAAATTGACCATATGTATTGAAAGCTTTGAGTCTGAAACGAAGAATATATAGATATATCCACAAAAAAGAAGTTTTAAACGATATTGATCTCTATGGTTTCTTTTTGATATATTATTTTTTTAGCTAGTTTTATAAAATTAGCATTTTACTACATTTTACACAATCCAAAAAAACACTTTATTTTAAGGGTTATAATTCCTTAAGTAATTTTTCCTCTTTGAACCTGTGTTAACATTTGAAATATAAGTCAAGTTTAATTTTTTTGATGTTTCGTCTAGAGTCTAGATTTTAGACGAATCATTATTCCTTCTCTAACCATCTCTACGTTGTGTTTTTTTTTTGCCTTTTTTCTCTTTCCTCTCATTTTAGATCCCTTTTCTCTTACTTGTCGTCTTTTCCTCCATTTTTCTTTACTTTCCGGTCTCTCATTTAAATTTAAAGAGGAAAAATAGGGTTTATATTTTATTTCATCTAACATTTTAATGTTGAAAAGATCAAGCGGACCGAAATGTTCATTCAGATGGGGTACTGCTGAATTACATTTATTTGTAACACACACACACACACACACACACATATATATATATATATATATATATATATATATATATATATATATATATCGGTTTCACGTGTCTAAATGATAATCTTACACAATGTATTTCACGCATTTTTTTTTAAAAGCAGATATCGTAAGTTAGAATTCAAATGGTATATTTAACATCCTAAATCTTTCATTACCAACATTTTTTATAATAATGTAATACAAAATAGTCGTCGAGTCGCTATGTGGTTACATCACCGACTATAAGACCAGGTCTCGAATCTTACCATGATCGATTTTTCAAGCAAATGACTTTCTGATAATGTCGTTCTGGGGAGAGGATCCTGTGGAAAAGTACGTTTGGAAAGTGCCTGCCAACCACACGACGGATCGTCGAATATGTTCGGAATAAAAATATCAATAGCTATAGAAAAAGGAAAACGAGAACAACAAAGAGAATAAGAAAGAAAGTAAGAAAGGAAGAAAAAAAGAAACAAACAGACAAAGAAAAAAAGAAAGAAAGCAACAAAGTGAAAAAGAAAGAGAAAAAGAGAACAAGAAAGAAAGAAAGAAAGAAAAAACTAACAGAGTAAAAGAAAGCAACAAAGAGAAACATTAAGAAACAAACAAAAAAGAAAAAAAAGGAAAGAGAAAATAAAGATATAAAGAAACCAACAAAGAGAAAAAAGAAAGAAACAAAGAGAAAGAGAAAGATTGATAGAAAACTGAAAAGCAATTACAAGACAAAACACGTTGAAAAAGAGAAAGCCGATAAATTCAGCAAAAACAATAAAAGATAGAACACGACGATTGAAATAAATCAAGAAAGAAAGACAGAGAAAAAGATAGTAGAGAAAGATACAGTAAAAAATAACAAGTACGACAATGAAAAAAAAAAAAACGTTGAATATCAACAATGTTTGTTTAGCATGAAGTCACAATTTATAGTGACGTTTGAGCGTATTTTGTTGAAATTAGTTATATCTCCCAGAAACTCTAATATGCACACAATTGTAGTAGATACCAAATGTCGTCTATGTTGGTTTTGAACCAACCCAAATGTGTCTGAACAGAAATCTGCAACAGAAGTTATTTAGCAGTCAGTTATACTCGGATCCGAACGGCCAACAATAATGCGAAAATGTTGCCTTGCTTAATAAAATCAGACACACTGTACATCGTATCTCAGTTGCTGTTTTCAGTTTACCTTATTTTCCACAGAAATTACCGAATTAGGTAATTTTCTTTCAGCTTTTGACTTCAAACGGAGGAATATGCTTACATACCTTGCAAGTAAAGAATAAAAATGAAATCGAATGGAAGTCAAATTGCTAATAGGATCGGTCGAGTCGGAAAGAGAATGAAGAAAATTTAATAAAAACTTTCGATGACAGATAGGAATAAAAATAAAGAGATTAGGTTGAAGGAAAATCGAAAAAGAATCAAACAAATATACAAGTATAGTTGTGGAGATGAAATTAAATACACATAGGCAACGAATAAAGGGAGACAGCAGGAAAGTAAAAGAAAAATAGAAATGTAGAATGAAAATATATCTAAAATAAATGGGAGTAGAAAAAGACACAAAGCTGGAGACAAAACATTGAAAGAAAGAAAGAAAGAAAGAAAGAAAGAGAGAAAGAAAGAAAGAAAGAAAGAAAAAAGAAAGAAAGAAAAAATCATGTAATTAAAGAAAGAAATGACTAATGAAGGTAAGAAAGGAAAAGAAAGGGAGAATAAAGGTAAGAAAGAAAGAAAGGAAGGAAGGAAGGAAGGAAGGAATAAAGAAAGAAAGAAAGAAAGGAAGAATGAAGGTAAGAAAGAAAGGAATAATGAAGGTAAGAAAGAAAGAAAGAAAGAAAGAAAGAAAGAAAGAAAGAAAGAAAAAGAAAGAATGACAAAAAGAAAGACAATAGAGAAAAGACAGTAAAATAAGTAGGGCAAGGTGGGGACCAAGCTGAAAGAAAAGAAAGGAAGGAAAGAAGAAAGACAGTAAGCAAGAAAGAAAGAAAATTAACGAAAGAGAAATAAATAAGTTAATAAAGAAAATATGTATGGAAATATTAAAAAGAAAATAAAAGAATTAACGAATACAGAAAAAGAAATTTCGAGTGAATGTAAGAAAAGGGGAGAAAATCGGGAAAAAATATTAAAAGATAATATACGTTAAAAAAATAAAAATACAGAAAAAATGAGTAAAATATAAAACACGTTGGAATAAAAAAAAAATAAAATATAGAATTACATTTTTGTGTAATTTTGATGCATAAATTGAGATGTCATTGTTATATATATATATATATATATATATATATATATATATATATATATATATATATATATATATATCGCCAGATAACTCGCCCATTCCCAGAAACTGCAACTAAGGTCTGCACGATATAATTGCAGTATAAACCACAGAGCAAGCGTCAGCAATAGGGATTGGCCAGCCTCCCTAGTAGACGGGTTTCAACGAATACGAGTGGCCAGCTATTATATATATATATATATATATATATATATAATTATTGAAATAAAATTACTCAATATATATGGTATGCCAATTCGTTCACTGTTAGCAAGCATGCCTTACCATATCAAGTGAAAATCAGTCGTGAATTCAATACTCATTAGCTGCTGCCTACATTCGACCTTGTGCCTCATTTAAACTACGCTTAGTTCATCACCATATGGTAACGAAGTATACGGTACCTATTACATACGTCAGATAATACATCATTTGTCAATTTTTGTTCGTTGGACAGTTCTATTATTTATTTTTGTTTCGTTTATCTGCGTTATTAAAAGATGAGATATGGTTACAAAAGCATTTTTTGTGTTACCGACGTAAAAGCGTTCTGAAGTCCTAGGATTTTTGTTTAGGTGTCCACCCCTTTTTCATACAAGTGGACTCGCCAAATGTGTACTTCTACTGCTGCCGGTGAATACCCGGGGGAGATACACTGGTAGAGTGATACAGTGAGGGAGTGAAGAGAGTGAGAGTGTGAGGTAACCGTTTTCTAGGAGTCACAGTTGCGAGCACGTAGACTCAAAAGGAAGTCATACTTCGATACTGAATTTCGCAGACTGTATATATATTATTATGGCTACTAACCGCATTTCTGGATCTACTAACCGTATTACCAATTGTATTATTGCGTCAATACATTTATTTGCTATATTTCATTTCTGCGTTTGTCAATCGTTTGAGACTGGATTTCATCCCGGAATCCGCAACAATTTTCAACCAAGGTAATACTACGCCCGTATACTATGGATTTTGTTAAAAACCTGTTGGATAACCGGAACTGGTTGGGATTTAGAAAAATATTCCTATCCCAAACAAACAAGAGTATTTTCAGATGTTAGTCCTAAAGACTGAAGATCTGATGCGAACGATGAAATGGAAAGCGTATTTCTTCATCAACTGATGTAAAGCTAACAACACAAAGGACACCTATGAATTTAAAAACCGCAATACTGTACCACATATCGACAAATTTGTAAACTTTGAGAAGGACTTATATGAAATTATAAATAACATCACTTTCCCATGCAGAAAAAATAAATTCCAAAAACATTTGGACACGTTAGTTTGGAACATAAATAAGTCGGAGCACATTTTTATAAAATCTGAGAAGGCCACTAATTTCTATAAAATGAATCCTAAAGACTATAATACTCTCATAAGGAATAGCTTAATGAATAATTAGAAAAAAAGTAAATATTGGCAATTTTTGACCATGGCTACTCACTCCACAACGAGCCATACAATAAAATGTAAAAATAACATAAAAATAAATAAATAAATAAAAGGATCGCCTTTGTGTAAAAGAAATTATTAATGCACCCAAGAAAACTGAATTTCGGCATTAAATGACACATAAGCAGTTAATATGCGGCTAAAGAAACAAGCAATAAATAAACTTGTGCCCTTGTGTCTAACTTACCTAAGCTTAATAAATGACAACACAGAAGAAAGAAAGCAAGCAAGAAAGAAAGAAACAGAAAAGACGCAGAGGAATAAAGAAGGCATGGAATCATCTATTGGATAAACGTAATAAATGATTCGACATTTGTTAAATAAAAACGATGTGACAAGAACGAGCAAAAAACAAACACATAAAGAAATAAAACGATAAAGAACGTGAGGATATAAATGGCGATAAAAAAAAACGAAAACGCGAATAGCCTAGAAACGAAGAAAGATCAGAAAAGAAACAAAAAAACAGAGGAAAAGTTAAAATGTAAGGCAAAGCAACGGCAAAGCACTGAATAATTGGTCTAGCGTAATTTTCCAACTTCCATCGAACGACTTGATCCATTTCCTCTAAGCCCAGCCATCAAATTCAACTAATAAACGCAGCGTCTTGAGATCAGTAAACATCGCAAACAAAAAGGACGGCCATGTTTATCGGCGACCTGCAAGTAACATGGCAATTAGAGAACGCAGATGTCGGCGCCATCTAGTGGAAGGTGAGAGAAGCCAAAGCCACATCGTCGGAACTTTTTAAAGCGCCTGTTGCCATAGTGGCAATTAATGGTTGTCATGACAGGAAAACACTGCCTCAAGTGAGATCATTATTGCAATGCTTCTGATTTTGGTAATGTTAATGTTGATTTAAATTGTTATAATACTAAATGTGGTAATGGTGACGTGTGAAAAGTTGATAATGATAAAAATATGAGTGAAAACAGGTGAGTTATCATAAAATGAAAGCAGGGCAAATAAGAATAGCATAAGGTTAATTTTAATAGTAAAAGTAATGGCACATTCGGAATATTAAACAAATATGGTATGAAATTGTTGTTACAGACGAAATGTCTATAAGAAATATTCTATTGCTTCTTGTGTATATCCATGTTTATTGACTCAAGCAAATATTTCAATATAAAGAATAATATAGGGTAATATGATGATTTCTTCGAAGTATGTTTTAATAATTTCCCGAGAAATAGGGAAAAGCCATGTAGCTGTAATGGGGTCAGTTTAAGAGAATGTGAGAAAAAGAAAAAAAAATAAGGGGAGAGAGAGCAATAAAATATAAGAATTGAAAAGACAGAAGATAGCAAATGACATTTAAATTTTATTAATTTTTTTAAAGCGACAAACCAAGAAAGTGTTCGTACGAAGTTAGGACAATATCTAACGTAATAACAGTCAGTTAAAATGGAATGTAGTCTTTCTCTCTCACACACACACACACACACACACATATATATATATATATATATACATATTATGAAATGGATAAAGTCCGACAATTATTTTAAGACATTTTTATGTTTATACATTCCTTTTTATAGATACAAATATTTAAGTAAATGCTCTGTTTTATAATAAACAGTATTACCAACATTTTCCGGCCTGTATTTCCGAGAAATTTTCATAGAAAATATCCGTCCTCCGACAGCAATCGAACCTGTATCCTATACGGAACCGTCATATAGCCTGACGTGCTTTTACCGATTTCGTCACAGAAGAACGTTTCGGTTAGCAAGATCACGGAAAATTGTAATTTAAAAACAGTAAAATTGACAATGCTCTCTATAAGCAAGTGTTTATCTATAGTCGCATTTTTCACTTTTATTAATCCAGCTCTTTTTTTCAACATTTGTGCCAGTTTCTATATGTCTTTGTAACGAATATTGTACCTCATGTCTAGACACATTCAACTTCTTGGCAATTTGTCTTTGACAGTAGCCTGCTTTTAATAAAATTTGAATTTACTGCATTGATTGTGAAAATTACTTACTGATTTAAAATAAAAAACCTATGGAAATACTGTCGTCATGCCACGATCTTCTTTTTTTCTTCAAATCAATACAGCTACGTATGTTTTGTTTACAACATGAGTTGTGCTGAGTTAATATTTTGAAATTGTATTAATATATGATGTAATTGAACATTTTGTTAATCTCAGAAAGTCTAATGGGAGGATTACGGTGAAAACAAAATACAATTTTTCTCGCACAAAATAAGCATAAGTTCACAAAATGCATTGTTCGGGTGTGTAAATTCGTTTAACCAAATGACGTTTTTTTTCTACTGTGGTTTTGATGCCATATTTGTATCTCAATTTCGGTTTATGCGCAGGCATTTTTCACTCTATCAAATCACCGTACATAAACTGCTAGGGATTTTAATCCTCGTGACAATATGGGCAATCCATTCTAACCACTGCCGAATACCAGAACGACTGTCCTAAATGACAGAATGCTTCCGGGTATATCAACAATATTCACGGGCTATTAGGGCCCTTAGATGCGATGAAATGGTTAGAAAAGCTTGTTACGCTAGATCAATTACGACTGCATAGTAAGTATGATACATACTCTCAGCCTAGATGAACCCTATATATTTTCTGCTAGATATACAGTTTACGACCAAGACACTTCTTGTGTAATTGTTCCAGGCTTTTTTGCGTCTCCTGCAAGATACGTGAATGCAATAAAGAAGTGAAAACAAAAGTTTTGTTTAATCATCAACCTCGCCTCATTCGAAATTCCTTGCTGAGGTCGTAGATATTAATTTAGAATTTTCGAATTCATTAGTGGCATTCTTGATTCGGAGGGAAATTCCATCATCAAAATATTTGTGAAATATAAAATAAAGTTATAAATTTTACTTATTGCCTAACCTCACAAACCTCTCGACAAGCTGAAATTTCTGAGCATAGCCATAAATCCTTGGTTCAGAACTGAAATTTCTAACCATACCAACAACAGAAACAGCTTAAAGGGATATCACATGAAACTCGAAGAGAAATCAATGCCAGAATTTGACCTTCCACAGTCTGTCAGTCAGTTAGGTGCCATGCGTGATACACGCTTACACGATCATGTATCTTTGGATACATGACTGACGGGCAAGATTTTTTTTCCCTCAGTAGGTTGCCAATTCATTCTGCGGTAGACAAGTTGCTATCCAAGTCTATAGAACCCGGTCTGTCCTGCTATATACTCAGAAGAAAAGGATTCATACCTGAAGAGTAAGCGACGGACTTGTTTCTTTTTCGTCACAGAATACACGCGACGCGCTGTCGCTTGGGTTGACGAGGTAAGTCGCTATAAGAGTTTTGCTGACTACTTTTTGGCAATCCCTCCCCGGCAGATCGCACACAAAACACGAACTTTTTTCCGGGGTACTTGATTATCTCGTTCACTACACTACCTTTCCCAAGGGTATTAGCATCTAAGTGAATGTAATGGATTCGACTGGAATTCGAACTCAACTCTCCGATTCTTCGATCCGAGCCAGTATCCACTACTCCACCTAATTCAATTAAAAAGGACCACCATCAATGCTGGAAATATAAAGACCGATACCAATTAGTGAACTTGTGATGCCTAATTTTGGGAAAAAAATATTTTAAGAGTAATGACTTAATATATTTCAACTGAAAATAGCATTGACCGCCCGGTGAATAAATATTTCCTTATAATAAAACGGTTCATATCAACATTACTATTACCATATGTATAGCAGTGTTTATAAACTGAGTAAGAAATCAATTGCTTTACGCATTAAATATGAAATAATCAAAAGAAAATATTTAAAAATATACATAATTTCGTTTTGTGCTTTTGTCTCGTATTGCTGAATTTGCATTGCTGAAATGGAAAAACAAACAAGGAGAATTCGTTTCAATTCTTATTTATTTTCTTTTTGTACAAGTAAAATTAACTTTTACTACTTGGTAATCAAATGATTGAATCATATTTATTATTTCTTTCATCTCCCTGAATGAAATTTGTTTCATAATCGCATCAGGAAGTAACAACTGAAGAAAATTCCGAATATACTGACCCAATTTTGGTAATGAAACACTTTCAATGCAAATGATACTCTCCGCATTTTGTGCAAGTACACACATACACACACACACACACATATATATATATATATATATATATATATGTGTGTGTGTGTGTGAGTAGAGATAGAGAGAGACAAAGTGAGAGACAGATAATATGAATAGACATACATAATATGAATAGAGACATATACAGATAGACAGATAGATTGAATTGTCATTGATAGATCTGAACTTGCCTTGTTACAGATACAGATAATATAAAAAGAATTACATACATACATACACACATAAATACATACATACATACATACATACAAAAAACATACACGCGTACATACATATATAAATCATTATTATCTGCTCATCATTTTTGTTTCTCTTCGTAATTCTTCCATGTACTGTAACACTTTGTGTTTTAGTGGCATTACTGCTTTGATTGTGGTGATACGATTAAAAAATGATAAATAGATAGTAGGAATATAGATAGATAGATAGATAGATAGATAGATAGATAGATAGATAGATAGATATGGGCTGTCTGCGATAGATAGATAGATAGATAATATGAATAGACGTACATAGTATGAATAGACAGAGATAGATAATATGAATAGGTAATATGAATAGATAGATAGATAGATAGATAGATAGATAGATAGATAGATAGATACATAGATACATACATACATACATAGATACACAAATAGAGAGATAGTATGAATACAGATAGTATGAATAGACATAGACAGATAGATAAATAGATTGATAATATGAACAGATAGTATGAATATATATATATATATAGATAGCATGAATAGACATAGATAGATAGATAGATAGATAGATAGATAGATATTATCAACAGACATAGAGAGATAGATAATATGAATAGATATATAGATAGATTATTATCTGCTCATCATTATTGTTTCTTTTCATAATTCTTTCACACCATTTAACACTGTGTTTTAGTGGCATTACTGCCTTGATTGTGGTAATACTGATTAAAAAATAATAAATACATAGTATGAATATACAGAGATAGATAAATAGATGAATAGATAGATGTAATTAGATAGATAGTGAGAGAGAGAGATAGTATGAATAAACGTAGGCAGTATGAATAGACATAGACAAATGTATAGTATGAATAGAAAGACAATAAGAATAGATAGATATATAGATAGATACATACATACATAGACATAGAGAGATAGCATGAATAGATATACATAGTATGAACAGACATAGATAGATAGATAGATAGATAGATAGATAGATAGATAGATAGATAGATAGATAATATTAATAGAATCATATGATATGAATAGACATATGTAGATAAACAGATTGTATGAATAGCCAGACTTGAACAGGCTTTGTCAGACATACATATAATATGAAAATAGATAGATAGATAGATAGATAGATAGACAGATAGATTACTACGAAAGGTAGACCGCATATGTTTAGTCAATCATCTAAATCGCAGGGATATCAATGAAATCCAATCACCATTCAAAATGTATTGAATTCAATCACTCTAGCAACAGAATTCCTATGATCACCGCCTTCACAAGGATATCTTTCTCTGTCATCTCTGTCTGTTCCTGCCTGTCTCTGTTTCTCGGTCTCTCTGTATCTACCTGCCTCTCTCTCTCCCTCTCTCTCTCTCTCTCTCTCTCTCTCTGTCTCTCGATATATATATATATATATATATATATATATATATATATATATATATGAAAGAAAAATACAGAAAAAACAAAAATCTGAATATGCATTTATGTAGTATTAATGTTAAAATAAAGTCGACGTCGGACGTTTCGGTCTATTTAAGACCATCTTCATGGACATTTTCATTTAAACATAATTAACATTATAACTTATAAAAATTTAACACAAAAGACGATGGACATAAGAGCCCAAATAATTCAAACAGATAACTGAAATTTTATACAGATCAGCGTTCCGTTTAAATATGATCACGTAGTCGTCACGTGGGCGATGTTGTTAAAACGTATTCGAAGATGATTTCCAAAATTAAAATATTAAAAAGTCGATTGAAAAATTTTTATAAACAGTTCAAGAAATCTCTTCCGTTGATGTCGGAATACGTAGTGATCAATTGGTTCTTATATCTTCAACAAGCTTGAAGTCCTTCCCGTTACAAGGCAAATCTAAAAGTGATTTCAAAAACGATGGAACAGTTCTAAGAAACAGTTCGATAATAAATCCATTCCTTACTTGATCAATAGAATCTATTATTCTCGTCCAAGCTTGAAATCCTCCACGTTATAAAGTAAATTCAGTTTTGTATTTCCAGTAGACAGTATGTAAGCAAATATATGGATATAAATCCGACAGTATGAAAGAAAAATACAGAAAAAATTTAACACAGAAATTTAATACAGAAATTTAAAAAGTTGTATAACATGCTTCTCGTTGAAATATTTAAATTTGTTGACATTTATAATAAATTGGCTGTCATTATATTTTTAAAACTAAAATATCCGTAAGAGTTTTTGTCATAACAACATCCTCGTCTTCTACGAATTCCTCTACGAATTCTTCTACGTGCCATATCGCTCGGACGTTGTCGGCCATATTTCTCCACCATTCCTTCTTTTTGTAGCTTTTCTGACCAACCATTTACAAAATCTTGTTAGACAGCTTCCTCCCTGCTTTTCTCTGAGCCTCAAATTTTAATATTTTCTGTGAGTGTTACATCTTTTAGCACTCTTTTCTCAATATGTATGCAAGAAATTTCAGCTGTCTCTTTATGACTCTGACTATAGGTTTGCATTTTATTTCCATTTTCTTTTTTTACCTCATAGTTGCTTAGGGGGACTGTCTATGGTATTCTCAGCATCTATCTGTAGAACCACTTTTATGTTGCTTGCAGCTTTTTTTCCTCTTTGGGTCTGATTTGAATGTCCCGCAAAATTCATCACAGTACACCGGAAATCACTGCACATTAAAACTAGATCGAGAAGCCACCCTGCTGACAGGCAAAATCAAATGTCTCATACTCAGACCGTATGTCTTAAAGGTACCAGTCTTCATTACGCTAATGATGATATACTCTGGTTGGCAGCATTCCAAGAAAAAAAAAGAAATCCAGATATACTAATCCGAATTTTGACGGATAAGGTCATTGCGCAGCTGCGACCTCCGATCTGTTTGTATATTCCTATCACAGAGGAATAAAACGACGTTATTACTTGTCTGGGTTGTGGCTGTCATAACTATAATACCATTTTTCTATAGTACGCTTTTACAATAGTAACCTTTTTACTATTACGTCATTTTGCCGAACAAAATCAAGGATGACGAAATGATCATCGAATGCATTGCAGTGTCAAATCGTTTGAAGTATGCTTCATATTGAAGTTCTTATAGATTGATTTCAGCTGATTCTCACCCTGACGTAACAGTAAAAATTCCTCTTTGAAGAAATTGTTCAGCATCCTCTTCCATATAAGAGAACTGATATTACATGCAACACGTCACTCTTAGTTTTTCTTTGTTTCTTCCGAAATTCCCCTGTTTCTGAATACTTAGCTTAACAATTGGAATAAATATTTTGTCATTTCAATGCTTGTTCAGATTCCGGTGTCATATATTCCATCATGTGTTGATCGTTTTAAACGTTTTTTTAGTGGATAATCGTCTTTGAGTAGACGTTTCTGCTTATTTATCAAACAGTATATATATATATATGATATTATTTATCGTTGCCGGGGTAAAACGGAAAAAAAGTGTTATGTGCTGAGAGACATTGAAGCAAAATGATTAATACGTGAAAGATTTGAGGATTTAATTCACACATAAATGACTTGAATTGAATGTGGAGCGGTTTGAAAAATGGAACATTGCCGCTAACTTAAGTGGCGATGTTGATTGACACGCAGCTGCAAATACAAGCTTTAAAGCGAAATCTTTCAATTACGTAAACAATGAATTTGGAGTTGATTCTCCTTGTCGAAAGTTGATTCAAGATAAGAGGTGTTGATAAGCCGCCCACGTTTACTGAGGAGGTTTAGTGAAAGATAATTTTAAGAGAGATTGGGAGAAAGGAATTCCTCTAAATTATGTCCATAAATACGAATGCGCGAAGCGAATTCGCTAGACGAGTCGCAGAAGAGAAAAGAGACGGAGACGATACCAGAGACAGGAGAGAGGCCCATGTGATTATTTGCCGGTGAAAGCCTCCAACTTCATCCTTGTGACAAACTCTACCAACAACAGCAAACCAGATTTTTAACAGGTCTAAGATAGTATCACTTCCGATTTAGATGCTGGCTGGGCTGATAATTAAATGTATGCGAACTCTGATATAAACCAATTATTGTACGGAGGACTGATATAAAAACAGTGTTTATTTTTGTTCAATTAATGGGTGTTATTTTTTTTTCTTCCTGCACGTCATCGCCCTCCTTGGACCAGCCCAACACGAAGATTCCTGTGACGATTCGTTCTTAGCTGTCTTATAATCAAACTTAAAACACAACGTGGGATAAGGTGAGCTCTGGATTGAAGCTGTCACAGAAACGATCAGCCGCGGTGTTGGAAGGATTGGACGACCGGCTAGGGTGTTGTATGATTACATTTATTTATTTTCGTCTACCGGCTTACATTTTACTCGAGCATACAGGTCGCTAGTTGAAAATAAATAAATATACTGTTTAATAAGAAAACGGAAAGTCTATTCAAATACGACTATCCGCGAAAATAACATTTAAGTGATAAAAAAATCTGTCAGATTAATAAAAAAGCACATTCATTGCTTCTAAAAAATTATTTTCCATTCTGTGTTAAAGGACTGCCTAGATATTAAAATGGCAATGTTTGTCTGAACTTGAAGAATCACTTTTTAGTCCATTGCTTCTTTTCTTCCGATGAATTTGTCTTCATACAATTGATTCTTTGTCCTTTCTTTTTGCGTTCCTTTACTATCTGGTCTAGGAGGTTGAATAATTCCGGTAAGAAGAGATGCATTTTTATATGGTCCTTTCTCATTTCCTACATCCTTGTGACACTTTCATTTATTTTATACTAGCTATCAGTCGGCATTTAAACTAGCTTCTGCGCAGGGCTCTTGGCTGGACCGTGACCGTATAAATTAGGGAGGAGTAGATGCGATAGGCAATAATAAACAACAAAAGGACTCAAAACTAATCGCTGCATTTAAGTATTGCATTGATGCATTTGATATTCGTAGGTCCTTACGCTTCGTACAAATAATTATTTTTATTTCATGGGGACTTTCGCTGGATTTCGCAATTAATTTCGATTATTCCCAACGTTATAAAAATTGTTATTGTACAAAGAAATTCGTCGAAAAATATCACGTAAAAAACTCGTCGAAAGCAATTGTAGTAATGAAAACTGAGATTCCCAAATTTATTTAAACTGGGGATCCCAAATTTAAGGACACAAGGCACAGTGGATAAAGGTGTTGGTTAGATGCAGTGACAGGACCCAAAGATTTGTGAGTTCAATACCTGGTTAATGCAATGGAGAACTTGGAGAGGGGAATTAACAGGAGATAACTGATAACTGACATCCATTAGATATGGCACATTGAACTAGAACAGACTACCCCAGCGAGCAAATTAAAAGGCTTCAGTTCGACATTCCAACAATCTGAAGAAAGCCGGAGCGTACAACAGACGAAACGTTGTGATAAATACCGCAACAAGGATGAGGACAATAGTCCGAATAATGTAAATACTGTACATAATACCTCATCTCATAAATATAGAGAGATACATAAATGCTTCTTATATTCTTAGTGCTGCATTGATTGTCACTTTGCTAGAAAAATGTATTGCTGCTCATTTTATTATAAAACTGTACTGTTTTTTTGTTTTGAGTTTAACTATTTGCCCATAACTGGGACGCTAACAGGTGCTATCACCCTTGGTCTGTGTGGATCTGGAACAACAGAAAAGAAGACGCGGTTCTACGATCATCAAAACCTCCCAATTATTGTCCTTGCTACCGGAATTGGAATTGTATGGTGTGGATAAGGGCTATTATCTACACACATACCCCAACACAATAATTAAACAATAACAAGTAACATAGCAAACAACTGACAACCAATAAGATTTAAATGTACTAGAGAAGAAAAATATAGGTCTCACTTGAACCGGTCTTACTTAAAGAATTTCACTTATTATGAAAGACAGAATAATCAAATTGGTTCATTTATTTTTCAAAACACTTAAGCCTGTGAACTGATAGTCAATCCGAAATTAAATATAAAGCCTAGTAGACGTCTGCAAAAGTCAGTAGTATTTTCACTCGCATTAAAATACTGAAGTGGACCCGCAGCAACGTCAAAAGAGCACTGCAAACCGATATTTATAAAACACCTGATCTTGACGTTAATCATATCCGCCATTATTTGAATCTCTCTCTCACTCACTCACTCTCACTCACTCTCTCTCTCTCTCTGTCCCTGTGTCTCTCTCTCTTAGCAGTATATAAACACTTCTCGCGCGAACATTATTTGGAGAAAAATTTAATTGACATAATCCTCAAATGAAGACTCAGAAGAAGTATATCCTCAGAAGAATGATAAATAACATTGTTGGAGTGTTCTCCAGTATTTTTTATACATTACTGTAAATACATATTCTTATACCATTTATTTTTGCTTATTTATATATGAAAGTTTTCCATAGTTATTTACTGTATTTAGTGGTTCGCTTCGCATTCATTTTTGGTAATGTTGGTAACCAAAACTTTGTTCTAAATCCTGTTAGTGGATCCGAGATTAACAGTATAATTGTCATCACCGTCAATGTATGTCCTTTGTCTACTGCAGGGTTTATTTTCTCATTCCTTACTCTTTGTTCCCATAGTTAAAGGAAGATAAAAGTCATTATTTTCCATTTCTGACACAAATGGTTTTGAACGGTTTATTCTCACTTCTGTCACACGAGCTTCCTATTTCATTCAAACGCATTCGTAATTCCATCCCACAAGAATATTTATCGTTCGAAGCAGAGAACTGCACGAGAAGAAATTTACAGTTTTTCAGGGATTTTCTTTTTTTTTTTTTTACACTGGGAAAATTCTCAAACGTTAATCGAAATACGAATACAGCGTATGTTTGAATGATCCATACCACAGCTGTGACAATTGCACTCTGATCACAAAAAAAGTTAGTTTTGCTTCATCTAGATGGAATCTAACGAATTTACTTTTAAGTAAATTATATACTAGGATGTAGGGGTAGCGTAACTGCTGCCTGTGAAAAGTGGGATTGGAGTACATAGTTCAAGTTCCCATACTATTTGTTTTCGCAAAAATATCCTTAAAAAGATATGCACCCATATATTCTTCCCTTAAGTATTAATAGCGTAGCAGACTGAACTCTTTAGGTTTGATTTGTAAAAAAAAACTGCTTCAGTGTATGGATGACATCACTACTTTTTAAAACCTTCATGCTATATAAATCAAAGGAGTAACACTAGCGTAGTGAGGCCGTGACCCTATACACAACAGAGTTTCTACAGGTTTAACACCAACTATTCCAGATATATTTGTTATTAGTGATCCATTATAAGATGCAAAGAAGAATCAGCAATCTCATTGGTCCTGATCTGGCGGATCGGCTCCAATCACTTTTCTGCAGCTGTAAGGTTGAATGTCTGTGTCATTCCTATAAAATACTTTCATGTTAATTGTTCTGATAAGCTCTTTGTTATTGTACCTAGACATTTTGAATTCAATTGCAGTACTAGACTTGTGCTGAGATCTCATCATTTTACAGTTGAGCTGGCTAAATGTAACCGTAAATTCTATGCTAACAGTTTCTTCGTCCGCATCTCACTTCTGGAACTCCCTTCCGGCTTCATGCTTTCCAGCCAACTTTAACCTGCCATAAATTTAAATGCAATATCAATCGCTATCTACTCTCCTCCTGATTACTCTTGATTACTGTCTTCTTTTTCTGCTCATCATTAATATTTCTGTTCCCAATTCTTCCACAACCTGTAACCAGATATCTTATTAGCTGTTTTGTTTGGGGTGATTCCGATTAAAAAAAAATGAAAAAAAAATGATTTATTTATTTGAGAGTAGTATTAAGTAGAAACACTTCATATTATCAGAAAAATATTCACATCTTGGCATTCTTTGGATAAATGTGAATTCTTGGTGCAGTTGTATTTTCTTATACTTGTATCACAATCAGGGCATAATACCTTAATTGGAAGACACATGAAATTGACTAATATTGATTCATTTATTTTGTTGTTTTATAACGTTTTATCAACCTATCGCAAGTTGTTAAAAACAGAAAGTATTTTAGGTTGTAAGAATTTTTTGGAGATAAGGATTTAGTGGCAAAATGTACTATTAATTAACCCATAGCTGGAGAGGGGAAACGGTAGATCTACAATTTTCCCGAGGCTCTTTGCGTGTGAATATAACTAACCCGACTAGAATTCGAACTCGGTTCTCCTATTTCAATAAGTTGCTGTTTCTTTCTGTGTTAGATTGGTTGCCAATCAAGGCTATAGGACCCAGTCTGTACTGGTATTCAACACATTACTGGTAAGAGAAAAGGTGGATTCTTAACTTTCCAAAGGGTATCTGCGTGGAAATAAATGCAACGAACCCAATTGGAATTCGAACTCGACCCTCCTATTTCTCATTCCGATCCGATACCCATTACACCATGATATGTCCGGAAAGGGATATATTTGATCGAAGTAGCTAAGTGGTTTTTGCTACTGTAACCAAGTAGTACACGGTAGCAGTAATCGACCGGTACTCGTCGTAGTCGCAGATAATAGGTGTAGACCAATAGGATAGCCAATAGCGTAGTCCATTGGGCGTCGTCATAGACTTAAAATCTGTCGTACCAACACGTCCGTCTGTATTTATGACGGACACCAGATAATCCTATTTCAGTGAGAGGGAACACAGTTGTATGTATATTCTATTTTATCACATCACATGGAACAGCCTCCGGGCAAAAATATATTCAAAAATGTAAACGGTTTATGGACATTTCACGTCGAAACACAGTTTCCCGTACGATAACCGAAGTTAAGCAACGTTGTGCATGGTCAATACCTAGATGGGTGACAGCCTGAGAAAACCAGGTGCTGTAAACTTGGATATTCTTGTGATGTAATGGATAATAACTCGGAGTTTTTCATCGGAGAGCCTAGTTCCAATTCCAGTTGAGTTTGTTGTATTCACCTACGCTCAAATACCTTTGGGAAAAGTCTGACTTCACCTAGTTCACCCCGCTCTGTGGACTAGTTGTATCAATAAACTATTATTATGTCCTGCCCCCAACAAAAGTCTTTTACTATCTAAAATTATTTTCTGATTCCAATAGCCAGCAAAATGTTGTAAAACCCTAGAAAACGAGTTAATCAATCATAAAACACTTAAGGTAGTCTCACTCGCCATCTTCGTTCTCCTTGATTCCTGGTCTTTTATTGCCCTTGCTGTTTCCTTCTCTCTCTGTAACCCTCTTCATTCTGTTTGTTTCTGTTTCAAAGTCGTGACTGGTCAGTACCTCGATAGGCGACAGATTTGGAATATCAGGTGCTGTAAGCTTGGGTATGCGGCTGGTGTAATAGATAATTGCTCGGAAATGTTGATCGGAGAGTTTAGTTCAATTCCAGTTCAGTTCGTTATATTTACTTACGCGCAATTAGTATTTGGACTGCTAGGAATATACCTCTCCTTCCCCAGATATGTGTTAATTAGTAAAAATTGCATTACTAAATCAGTATTATCTATTAAAAAAAATCTTAAAATCTAAAAATATTTTCTTTAAATAATTGCAAAGGATTTGTAACCCGTAGAAAAAAATAATCAATCAATCAATACCAATGCTAAAAATATTTTCTGGCTTTAAATAATTGGAAAGTGTTGGTAACCCGTAGAAAAAAAATCAATCAATCAATCCCAATGCTGAAAAAAGTATAGAAACACTGTAACAAAAATACAACGTATAGACTGAAAGGTAGCTTAGAGTTACTGGAGTTCATGAAGGAGAAAGAAACGTAAAAGAATTAATTATTTCTTCGTTATCAGTTCCATTTCGGTTTCTTGATGCTGAAGGATGGTTTGACGGGTAATCTCAAGGATACAACCATACACATTTGGAACAGTCAATTGGTCACTATTCCCTTTTCATTGTGAGATGTTAAAAGAAAAAGGACAGGGTAAAGAGGATAGGCTGAAGAGTTGGGAAACTAAAGTTGAATGGAATGTCTAATCAGCTCTTGGTTGTGTCATCTGCATGTGACATGAATATCAATTATGGTTGTACTCATTGTCACACAAAGAGTCTACAAACGTCTGTTTACAATAATATTTATGCCCTTGAAACATATTATAATGACTAAATTATGATTTCAACATTTTCTTCTAAAGATCATTTTTCTTGACATTCCCAGGTTTCATTTATTTATTTACAGTGTTTCTTGTCAATTCCTACATTTACAAATTTTATACAATCAAAGTTTTATGTTATCTTTTTTACATCAACTTCTTACTTGAGCAGTTGTTCCCAACATTATTAGAGCATTTGAATCCATCATATTTTAGAGCATTTTACCAACATTATTAGGGTATTTGAATCCAAAATTATTAAAGCATTTAAATCCAACATATTTTAGAGCATTTGAATCCAACATTATTAGAGTATGTTTATGTCAATTTATTATTAAGGCATTTTGCTCCAAACTATTTATTAGATCACAGTTCTCCAGCATTATTAAAGCAGAGTTACTCCAAACTTTTTATTAGAGCAGTTTTATTCCAAACTATTATTATGAAAGTCTTTTTTTAAAAGATTTCTTGAGCATTTTACACTAACTCCTTGTTAGAGAATTTAACGCAAAATTATTATTAAAGAAGTTTGCTCGAACATCACTAGAGCATTTTTATGCCAACTTATTATTAACGCTTTCTGCTTCATCTTATTATCACAGTACTTTTCTCCAAAATTATTACAGCACTTTTACTATAAATTTTATCATATTAGTTTTTCTCCAGCTTATCGCAGCAGTTTTACTCAAAAACATTATTAGGGCAGTTTTACTCCAATTTGTTATTAGATCAGTTTTATCGCAACTTATTATTAGAGAAGTTTCTTCCAAATTATTATTATTATTATACTTTTAATCCAACTTATTGTCATAGCAGTTTTACTCTAAATTATTTTTGGGCCAATTTTATCAACAGTTTTATATAATTAGGTGCAGTTTCGCAATACAGTGTAAATTATTACAAAACAAAACCTTAAACAAAGAACTCGAGTTATGTTATCTCTTCAAATCGAAATTTTCAAATGGATGACATACATGACATGTACCCCTTTCAGAAATAACTAAACTGTCAGCTGTATAATACCGCTTTCTTAGAGCAATGATTAAAAATGATTTCGAACGAGTGAAGCGTGTTGGTCATGACAAAATTAGACTTCATCGAACCTCACGAAACAGCAGTACAGAATCACAAAGTACTGTATAAAATAACGGAAACCACATCACTTGAGGACATTCAGCAGCTGCAACAACTAAAACTGATAGTTCAGAGAGAATAATGACATAAGTAAGATGCTGACGTTACCAAGGATCGTCTTAGATAGAAACCCTAATTAACATTTGAAAAATGGATGGATTGAGAAGCCGATTTTCTAAAAAATTGATTTAATGAATAGATTTTATAGATTTCATCTGACAGAAAAGCGTAAATCGATTGATCGGTTATTGAATTCCGAATGTTTCCGTACAAAGAAACAGCTAATATTACCATTAACATTAGAGATGAGGAGAACAGATATTACATTTGCTATTCACCTGTCCACCTACGGGATATGATGCAAGGCTGATTTAAAGTGTGCATCCCAAAGACATACACGTGCGCTATGTCCAAAAATTACACAGTCCCTACATCGAACGTCGGAATGGCGTCAATTTTAAACCACAGTTTGTCCACCCAAAGGCAAACACTTGGTATTGAAACATGTCTGATGAAAGTAAAGTATAATTCGAGTCAATAAATGTCGAATGTTTCCTTATAAGGAAACACCCAACATTATATGTCCTATTTTAGTATTATTTCCTCTCTATCTTTCGTCTGAAGTGTTTTATTTTATGTCAACATTTCAGAAGGTCACATGTTTATCTGTTTATTATATTGTTATGAATTTTACAGTTTTTGTTCTTTATTATTGTCTGAGGAGTCTTGGTTGATATATTTCTCAATATTACCATTATTTAAAAATTAATTATAAACATATGACTTTGATGCATTTTAGATTAAGAGTTTTCTCCATCATTATATTATTACTAGCCATAATTATTTTTTTTACTGTTATATGTTTGATCAAACGTGTTAAATATTATTTTTATTAAAAGATTTACTCTTCTTTTGTACTGCTAATTTTTAGATTAAGCATTTTCAAACATTTTATTATATTAAGAGATTTACTTCATTTTATTATTATCGCAAAACGTATTGTCACTATTATTTTCTTAGTGAAACAAGATGATATTTTTATGCAGATGCATTGATTAGCCGGGATGATACTGCATGTCAAGTCACAACAGGGACCTCGGGAGCAGTACTTTGTGACATATACTTCTTGGACGCAATAACGTAGACTTTTTATATAGTTCGCTATGTGTATTTTAAGAGATGAAGCCAATTGCCCTCATCACTGTCGGGTTGACTAATATATTTCTTCCGCATCTTATATAATGTGGCAATCTGAAACTTCATTTTAGAATAGTTACTGATCTTTACCTGACTGCAGTTTTGTAGTTAACATGTATGGCCGCATCAATTATTTGATATTAATTTTTACTTGCGTTGAGGTCAACCGTATTTGGTCTTCTGTGCTTAATAACTCGATAGGTTGGTTTTGGCTTGGTTTGTTTTGTTTTACAGCATATCAACACCAATGTGTTATTTAATTCCCACAGATTTTTATTGTTGGTAATATTTTTACCAAATATGTATTGCTGGTAATATTTTTCTTAAAGTATTTCTGGCATTAAAACCTATTTTTACCTTTTCCTAGTGTTTTAACCCAAATCTGAGGGTTAACTATTTTCCCATAGCTGGGGCCCTAATTGGTGCTAACAACTCAGGTCAGGGTGGACCAGGGAACACCAGCAATTAAGAGGTGGTTCCACGCTTCTCAAAGCCTCCTGATCCCAGGCCTTTCTGTTGTAGTTTATCGTCTTACTCATGACGCGGATGTAGTTTATCGTCATACCCAGGACAGGATAGGTTGGAAATCCGCATTCCCAGAATATCATTGGTTTGCTTCTGACTTCCATTAATCTGACTCATCAGGATATACTCAAAATGTATAGGAGACAGATCAAACCTAAAATAGTTTACATAATAAGCCTAAGACTATATTTCTGGCAACAAGACTCTGCACCATGCCACAAAAGCAGGAGAACCATTTCTGCGACCACATCACCTTTTACAACTGGTCATCTTGTTACCTAGAAAGCAACCATCTTGATTATTATGTGTGATGCAACAGACCAACAAAACTCCTTGTAACACTAAAGATGAACCGAAGGCAAAGGTTATGGCAGCATTTACCAAATAATAAAATGAAACCATCTAGAAGAGATACAGGAGATTCTGGAGATTTCTGGAGGCTGTAGTTTAAATCAATGGCAATTTTATTGAGTGTATCACATTCAAGATTGAGAGAATTCAAAAGCGTATCCGAATCCTCGTTGGATAATTATTTTCCATTCACCATCGTCTCTCTCACAGGCTGCAGTTGACTGGTCTCTGGCAGTTCCATTGCGACATCTATGGAAGTTTCACCGACGAACTACATTGCTTTTTTTCCGCAAGGTTTAAGCTTCATGGTTAGGATGCAGCATGCCACTAACAGGGTAGGAAACAACCCCCCCGTATACCATTAACGAGAAGTAAGTTCTATTCAAAGAGCTTCTTACCGTGGACCATTGCCATGTGAAACAGACCATCAAGAGGATGTTTACCCTATCTGTACAATCTTAACATGTTCAAGTCTAGAGTTAACAGTTGTCTTCTCCTTTTATCAATATAAACTACTTCTTATCCTAATCCTCTACATCAAGGGGCCCCCACA